AAATTTGTCATAGTTGAACTTATAGTTGGTAGTCAACAAACATTTGTTGAGTGGCTTCTATGTGCCAAGCATGGGGCTATGGGGAAAAAACTCCTAGATTGGAGGAAACCAGTGTCTGCTATAGATTCCTGAGTCGGAAAGGCACAGCATGGCTGACATGGTTGCTAAAGAGCAGAGGGGGAAATGATCCAAAATAATAGTAACAAGCTCTCCATGAGTTGAAACTTGTGAATAGTCTTTGTTTTTAGTTTCTATCTTGTGGAAAATTTCGCTGTTTTCACTCTGTCACAGAACAGATGGAACCATGATTTATGATTCACAGTTTATGAAGTTAATTTAATATCCTACCACGCTTTGTGCTCCATTGTGTTTCCCATATTTGCAATATTTTTTTCTCCTGGGACATTTGTCACAAAAGGAACACATCAATGTTGGGATGGGAGGAGTTCGGGCGTGAAAGAGAACTAACGGTATCACAGAGGTCATTCATGCATCCAACAAATATTTATAGGGTCCCTTCATGTGCCAGGCACTGCTCTATGGATGAAAAATCCAGTTGGAAAGTCAGAAGGGTCTTTGCTCTGTGAAGGAGAAAAATAGTAAACAAGCAAATAAGCAAACAAATAAATAACCAGGTCTTTTCCTAGAAGTACTTTGAAGAAAATAAAATATGGCAATATTATAAAGACTGACAGGAGGCGGGCAACATTCACTAGAGTGGTCGAGGGACGCCTCCCTCGGATATGCCATTTAAGCTGATGTCTAAATGATGAGAAGGATCCGATTCTTCAAAAGTCATAGGAAGTGCGATCGGGGAACGGGGAACAGCGTGTGATGGTCCTGAGCTGGGAAGAAGTTTGGGATGCTCAAGATGCAGAACCGAGGCCAGTGTGGTTATAGTCGCCAGCCATCCTTACAGCCCTCCCGCCCCTGCTTTCCACAGAGCTGTTGATGCGGATGCCACCGGGGCCTTGGGCCAGGATGGTGGCTTTATGTTGTTTAGTGCATTAAATAAAATACTTCCTGGCTCCAATTCAGAAGCTTTAGTGTGGAATTCCATTTTCCACTTCACGTCACGGTTCACAAGACGTCTGCTAACAGAGTGATCCCAAGAGAATACCAAACTTGAAGCCCAGGGAAGGAATTCAAACACAAATGGCAAAAGAAAAGATCTTCGGGGAAGGGGGGTGATTTTCCTCCAATCAAACTCGTCTGTAGGGAAAAGTCAAAATTTTTTTCTAGGTAAATCTGAATCTGATGATACAACCACCACAAAGGTACAAAATACTCATAGCAACACATTTTGTGAACTATTATTCTGGTGTCTATATGAAGCAACAAACTATTTGGGTCATAGTGAATAATCTTCATTAGTATTCTAAGTCTATCGTTCCTTATCTCCCATTCTGAAATTTTAAATAAACCTTTGAAAATCAAGTCTTTTTCATAGCACAGTTGGCAGTGATGCGAAGATAGTTACAGTCTTTGTCACAATTAGTGTCAATTTCATATCCATCTAATGGCAGAGATATTAATATACTTAGCTAAGAGATATTGCCCTAGAACCTACCAGGGGTATTACATAGTACATGATATATCTGCCATCTTACCTTTATAAAATCAGAAATATGAATTCTGAAAAATATCTGGCACAAAGTCTGCAAGAGCAAATTTGCACTCATGAATCTCAGGCTATTTTCATAATTTTAATATTAATACAGCCACCTTCAGAGGATCTGCTAATATTTTAATGAGTCAAAAAGAAAAAAATGGCTAGCCATCCAACTCACATGCATGATAGTGAGCTAGGCTTGGCCTGTCCCACTGGTGTGTATAACATGTAATTGCCCACCAAATTCTAACCTGAGCAAGAAAAAAACACAATAAAAATATAGCATATTCATGACAACACACTATGAACTTTTCTTTCAGTGTCTGTGTGAAGCAACAAATCATTTGGATCAGAGGTATATCCCAGTAACTGTTGAGTCCCCAGCACATAGCAATAACTGGCACACAGCAGACATTTAGTAAATAGTGAATAGTTGGTCCATTCTTAATACTTGGCCACAGTGCTGCCCGCTGCACTCACTGCCTTGAATGAAAACTACACATCAAATCCTGATGCCGTTTCTTCTGCGTTCTCTGCCAATCCAAGGTCAGGATGTCCTTCAAACAGATGTTTGCCATTCCTGAGACTCACATGACTCTCTGATGGCAAGAAGAAGCAGGTTTCCTGCCAAAGCTTAATTTATATTTTCTTGGGAGTCTGTTATCCCTTTTTAAAAATAAAAATAGACACTCAAGTGTTCCGTGACTCTCTGATCCAAAGAAATACTTTGAATCATTAACAGTCTCCACTAGCGACCCTAATGAATTTGAATTTGAATTTGTTTTCAGGCTCCTTCCACTCAGATCTTATCCCCTTCTTTCCTCGTCCTCCACAGCGTCCACCAAGACCCTTATGAGTACGTAATCAACTGAGAGCATCCATTTGATTTTCGCATTTGTTCGTCTATGAACTAAACCAAGAGCATAGGTGGGGCGTGGTGGCTCACACCTGTAATCCTAGCACTCTGGGAGGCCGAGGTGGGAAGATTGCTTGAACTCAGGAGTTTGAGACCAGCCTGAGCAAAATAGAAAAATTAGCTGGACACCATAACAAGTGCCTGTAGTCCCAGCTACTGGGGAGGCCGAGGCAGGAAAATTACTTGAGCCCAAGAGTTTGAGGTTGCATCGTGCTATGACAATGCCACACTGCACTCTAGCTGGGGCGACAGAACAAGACTCTGTCTCAAAAATAAATAAATGAACAAACGAACAATCCACGAGCATCAGCAGAATCCACAGTCTTTCCAGCTGCTGTGCCTGCAGCTACTTCTCCTCTATCCCACTCCCCAGCAGGCCCAGCTCTGCTGGCAAAGTCTCCCATAGGTGACCCACAGCTGTCACATATTCCTTGGAGCCAAGAGGAATGAGAGCTCTGCTGTAGTCAGTTCAGCTTGACAAAGAACTTGAGCTCAGCTCTGAATGCCAGGGACCAAGGATTCCTATAGAATACAGAGGACAAAAGGGGAACATTTGATATGACTTATGATGTATAAAATAGGACATCTGGGTGTTTATTTAACCAATAACCAACAGGGAAATTTTTAATATACTTCAGGGCCTTGGAAAACGTGACTGTCACTATACAGATTCTTAAGTGAGAGGAGTGAACGGGATTGAGAAATGTTTTCAGATCTAACCATAAACATCTGCTGGGTTCTTTGAATCTTATTTCGTCCTTTTTTTTTAAGTGCAGAAAACTTAGAAGATTTTTTAAAAAGCATTAAAAAATAAATAATTCCTGCCTTCCTGGCCACACACATGGGTAGGCTGCAATAGGCCAAGGAAGCTAAGGGGTAGTGAAAAATGATGTTACATCACTTTGCTGCTAATAAAACTTATTCCAGAGCTGTAAGCCCACCTGTACCAAAGATAAATACTTATCATGTCCACATTCCTAATTCCAGGACTATTATTTAAATCCTATCAACTCACCTGGAACATCCGTGATGCCCCCCCTGCCTGACCAATGTGACAGTCAGCAGAAGCTCAGTTCCAAACCCAGGCATGGGAAGCTGGACACCAGCTCTGGGAACTGATGGGGTGCAAGTATCCAACAGCAACTCAAAGGGAAACTACAGGAATCAGAAAGGGGAAGTTCTCCAAACTGGGCCCATTATCTTCATATCTCTTGGATATTGTTTATTAAATAACAAGTACTGACTTGAAGAAAATAACCCATCCTCTTCTCAGGATACTTGATTTCTATACCCTCGAATGGGGTATTCTTTAAGAATAGATAAGGTCTGGCAATGCGTGCATGTGTACGCGCGCACGCGTGTGTGTGTGTGTGTGTGTGTGTGTGTGTGTGTGTGTGTGATGTATAAGCAGGCATGAGACCAGGGAGCAGGTCACATATACAGAGAATCAAGCTCAAAATTTGGCACTGGCTCAAGCAGATTGGAAGTTTAAAAAAACAAAATAAAAAAGCCAATCCAGTTTGTATAGGAAATGTGGGCAGAAGAAAGTGGTTAAAGGCTCAGGAAACTTCTTTCCAATCTATTCCAAATTTACAGTGGCAGGAAAAAGTATAAGATCTCTCTTCACAAAGCAAAATAAAATGGTACACTCTGGCATGCCAGGGGAGCTGCACGGGGCCACTCTGCTTGGCCGGGCTGCACTTATGAGACAAATTCCTAGACTGGGAGCCTAGACAAGACAGGAGGCAGCAAGACGATGAAAAGCCAAGCTGTGTGCAGGGATGAATGAACACCGGAACAGAGACCACTCGGAAGGATGGTGAATGGTACCTTTGGTCCCTGACATCTTAGGCCTAGCTATCGGTATGGCGTATCCCAATAGGGCACATCATCAACAAATGGTCTAGGATCCTGAGACAGAGGCGTCCACAGCTCAGGATGCAATGGTTAGCGTGACAAAAATTTTACCACCAATGACAAAGATACACACACACACACACACCACAAGGCCTCATCATTTTCAGCAGTTTAGCATCACCCGAGCAACACAAATACCACCAATTTGGGCAGTCTTTGGAATGATTTTATTTTCCAGAGACATTCCTACACCTTAGGACATTTAAAAAACAACCATCGGCTCTTGACTGTGACATGCTAGCAATATTGAGGTAATTACGGCCTTAGCTCCAGGCAGGGAAACAATCCATCTGGGGAGTCCCTGCCACCGTCCATGCGTCTGCCCTCAAGGAGACCTGAATGGAGAGGGAAGGGCTGATGACTGTGTCCCGCTCATCTAAAAGCTCAGACTTTAGAGAAGGGCCATGCTCTGTTTTGGAGCTGGGCGTGTCCGTGTCCTAATCCTTTCTGCAGAACAAGGCTGCCTCCTCCCTTCCGTTCAAGTCTTGGCCAATTCCATGTGGAATTCAGAAGGTGGAGGGACCATCTCCTGGCATTCTGGAGAAACCTGGCCGGTCTACCTCGGCAACTGCCTTCAGACCCACCTGCGCCCTGGAAGAGGGGCCACACAGCACTGCCCAGGGACTGTGTGCCGGAGACAAAGGCCAGCATCTGCCCTCACTGTTTCTGCTGCTTCAGGAACAGGCTGGGTTAGAGGGCCTCAAGAGATGCTTTCCTTGCCTAGAATTCCAGAGAAAACTGGACTAAAGCAGGGCTTGTCTTCTCCATTAGACACTTGTCCAATTATGCCTCAGCCTAGTACCCAAGACTGAACTGCAGCTAGCACTGACCAGTGTGTGCCCTGGGTCACTGGGCAGAAGCAAGAATGTGCAGAATAAATGGTTCAACGCAGTCTCTCTCCTGGGAAAACGTGCTCCGGAGAGTAAGTGGAAAACAGCTTTTTGGTAGAATTTTTTTAAAAAAATTATTCATTCAACAAACGTTTTCTCAGACAGATACTGGGTATTAGAGATAAAGTGCTAAACTTGACAGATGGTCCCTGCCGTGCCCTCGTTTACTATTTAGCCTGGGTTTAGGGATCCAACTGACTTGACTTCAAATCCAGTGACTTATCTTTGTAAATCTTCCTTGGCTATAAAATGAGGATGGCAAAATTATGCAGAGGTTATCATGAGGGTTAAGTGAGATAATCTATATGAAGCATTGAACCTGCTTCCTTGCTCCCAGTTGTAGCGATCATTAAGATCGTAATTTCGTAGATCACAGGAGTCAAGTTGGAAACTGTGCGTTGGCTACCAGAATGTATAATGGGCCTTTGGCAGATAACTGACCCCAAATCTGGAAGGACCAGGTCCCAGCTCCGGTCAACACAGCCCTGGAGCTCTCAGCTGAAGCTCAGCGTTCACAATCAAACAAAGCCGGGAAGGACCCAACCACCTCCAGTGCTGGCAGGCCATGGCCCTAGGCGGCAGTAAAGGCTCCCAGAGGCCTTTTGTCAATTGTCCCCTGAACAGAACATAAACATCTCCACGCTGCCATTCAGTGGACATCCTGTTTACATGGTGAGTGGGGATCTTGGTTGCTTTCCCTCTTCGCTTTTTAAAGGCTGTAATTATGTTTACCCAAGTCCAGCAGTAGGTGCCAGGAGGGCTGTGAGTTGATTTCCCTGGCTAACGCTGCAGACGGCTGGCGGCAGCCCCACTGACCCCTGCATCCCCGGCAGAGAGCCAGCCCTACGCTCGCCTTACAAAGACAGCCATTCTCACTGAGCTGTTTCCTTTGCACACATGCTGGGATGCTCTGGATAATTGTCTAGCAAATGCCAAAATATGTCGGCACTGTGCACTTCCCCGATGGCTGGATAATGAAGGGAAGGGCACAGAGCTCCGTGGAAGGCCTCCTGGGTACCATGCGGTTACCATGTATATTTCACATGCAGATGATCCCCAATTGATCATGGTTCAACTTGCGATTTTTTTACTTTATGACAGCACGGAAGCAATACGCATTTAGTAGAAGCCATACTTCAAGTACCCATACGGTTTTCTGTTTTTCACTTTCAGTAGAGTATTCAATAAATTACATGAGATAGTCAACGCATTATAAAATAGGCTGTGTTAGATGATTTTGCCCAACTGTAAGCTAATGGAAGTTTTCTGAGCATGTGAAAGGTAGGGAAGGCTAAGCTGCAGGGTTCAGTAGGTTAGGTGTATTAAATGCATTTTCGACTTAAAAAGTTTTCAATTTGTGATGGGTTTATCAGGACACAGCCCTTTCGCAAGTCAAGGAGTATCCATGTATTGTTTCGGTCAACTCCAGTCAACCCGGAGAATTGTGTATTGTTATCCAGTTTTTACAGATGAGGAGACTAAGCCTGAAGTCACTCTGCTAGTACGTGGTAGAACTGGAATTTAAATGAGATCCATCAAGCTCTGTAGTCCATGTTCTTTCTATTCCACGTGGAAAAAAAAATGAGTTTTAAAATCCTTATATAGCCTTTTATGGTTGCCCAAATGAGTTGTTCTGACTCAGTGATTCCCAGGTGTTTTAATCCTTATTTTACCCACTGTAATATATTTTCAAACATTAATCCATTTTTAAATAATGTAGAGTTCTGTTTCTGGTGTAGCAAGATAAGCTGCTTACAGAACAACCTTCCCACCTTCCCTCTGATAACTCCTATAAATGCTGGTCAAAATATAAAAAATAACTACTAAAGATTTTGGAAAGTAAAACGCAGCAGACAGTTAATGGAAAAGATAAAATTTTAAATTTGGACAAGTGTTCAGTATGGAGATGAGTTTCCTGTCTTGTTGGTTGGTTGGTTTGGTTTTCAGCAGCTTCCCCTTGAGGGTTGGCTATAGACAGAGCGGCACGACGTGTGCAGCTAAAATTCTGATGGAAAGCACTATCTCTTTGGCAGGGATACAGGGAAAGGTTGCATGAGTAACCACAGCCAACTGCCAGCGAGGGAGAAGGGAATCCGGGAGAGGGGAGAGCCAGAGAAGAGGCTCCCGGAACTCTGGGTAAGAATCCTGCGTGAGTCCCAGACTGAACCCTAAAACACACATGTGCAGGACAAACATAAAGCAGCACAGCAAAGGCTTAAATAATTGAACTGAGGTTTTAACACAGAAGGTGAGGCAGAGCTTACAATCTGAGTCTTTCTAGAACAATCGTCTGCTGAAACAAAAGCACCACACTTTTCAGAGGCATAAAATAGAGCTCCAAGAGAAGCCCAGGAAGAAAGGGGGCAATCTGAATTAGGTAAATGTGTCACTTTGCTCACAACACATTTTATCTTCGGGACTCCTGTGACCCGTCTCCGCTCAGGTGTGCCCTGCCTCAGAGACACTGCCAAGGAGACCATTGCCAATTCAGTTGCAAGCTGACATAACTCACATGGACTTGGCCTCGGGACAAGGCAGCACTTTGAGAGAATGACTCAAGGAGGGGAGAGGTGTGGAGAGGCTGGGGCGAAGCAGGATAGGGTAGGCTGTACCCTGGTCCTCAAGAAGGAGATGGAGGAGTATGCTCGAGAGCCTTGCCCTGGCGAATTGTGGATGGCTGCAGTGGGGCCTTTACAATGGGTACCATTGGTGGCGGTATCTTCCAAGCAATCAAAGGTTTTCGAAATTCTCCAGTGGGAGGAAGCCACAGCCTATGAGGGAGTTTGACAGCTATTAAAACCAGGCCTCCACAGTTGGGTGGTAGCTTCACAGTTTGGGGAGGTCTATTTTCCCATGATTGACTGTAGTATGGTTCAAGTCAGAGGAAAGGAAGATCCCTGGAACTCCATCACGAGTGGTGCCTTCACAGGAGCCATACTGGCAGCAAGAAACGGACCAGTGGCCGTGGTTGGGACAGCCGTGATGGGTGGCATTCTCCTAGCTTTAATTGAAGGACCTGGCATCTTGTTGACAAGATTTGCCTCTGCACAGTTTCCCAGTGGCCCTCAGTTTGCCGAAGACCCCTCCCAGTTGCCTTCAACACAGTTACCATCCTCACCTTTCGGAGACTATCGACAATATCAGTAGGACATCTTTCCCAGGATTTCTTTAACAGAATGAGCTGTAGTTTGAGAAGGATTTGATTTCAGAAGATCAAGTCACAATCTGTTTTTAAAACCATAAGTTTTTAAAACTATCACCAAATAGGCTATGAAGAGACATTTAGTACTTTTTTCTACTTAAAGGAACATGGGGTAGGGGTCTTAAAAGATAATACATTTACTTATTCACACTTGAATTGCATTTGTGATCAAAATAAGTGTCTAATATCATTAAAAGAAAATATAAGTGCTTAAAAGGTGAAGGACCAAAGGGCAAATAACAGTGAAACGTGATCATCATTTCCTTGAGGACTTCTCTGCCTGGTTTTGTGTGTTCTATTATTCAAACAATAAAAAGCTCCTGGAACTTACTCTTTTTTTAAGATAAAAAAAGAAAAGAAGGAGTGACCAACAGTCAATAATACTGTGACTGGAATGTGACCATGGGCAGGTGGGAAGAACTTGGGCTGGATGAGGCTGGTGCCCACACTCAGATATGTCTCATCCAGAGACTGCAGTGGCATCATTGTGACTCTGAGAGTCAGTCCAATGGTGCTTTTGGCCGATAATGGTAGGACACCGTGTAGCCTGCTAGCATAGGAGGCTGCCATGTTAGGCCAACTGGGAACCTAGGGTTATAAACAGGAAAAGAGCCCAAGGAAGAACACTAATTCCGCAGCGTGGGCCAACATGGCAGGTCCTAAAGGAAGCCTGTGGTTTTGTGAGCTCAAAGAAGCCGCAGGACTAACCCCACACATAGCAGACAAATGCTTATTGCAACAGGACAAAGCAGGGGGACCCACAGTGCTGTGGGGTGGAGGTTCAGAGTGCAGTCTGTGCTGTGGCTAGGAGCTGTGGTAGGCTGAATAACAGCCCCAAATACGTCCACATCCTGATCCCTGGAACTTATAAATGTTACATTTTCTAGCAAAACGGACTTTGCGGATTTGATCAGCTTATGGATGCTGGGTTGGAGAGATTACCCTGGATTATCTGGGTGGGCCCAATGTGATCACAAAGTCCTTAACAGAGGGAGACAGGAGTACTTCGAGTCAGGGGAGGAGGAGCTGTGATGATGGAAGCTGAGACTGGAGGGATGCACTCTGAGGATGGAGAAAAGGGTCCTGGCCAAGGAACACAAGAAGCCACTAGAATCTGGAAAGGGCAAGAGAATGGATTCTCCCCTGGAGAGTCTCCTGAAGGAGCCAGCACTGCCGACACCTTAACTTTTGCCCAGTGAAACTGATTTCAGAGTTCTGCCCTCCAGAACTGTAACAGAATCGATCTGTGTTGCTTTAAGCCACTAAGTTTGTGGTAACTTGTTGCAGCAGCCACAGGAAACTGACATGGAACTATCAGGAAAAAGTCAGGGAAGAGCATGGAGGTAGAGTCTCAATTCTTGAAGGCAAGTAGAATTGCAGGAAATAAGAATTGCAAGCCAACAAAAACCCACGTTCTTGGGAACTCACATTTGAATTATCTCCATTATTGAAGTTGAAGACCACGAGCCGTCATTGCCTGGTTCCCTATTTATTATCTTGTCAATGTCAATACTATTTTCCCAGAGAAGCTCTCAGATTCACATTTTATTAAAGGGTATGAATGAATGAAGAGCAGAATCAAACATACAAATGAAACTTGCAACCACAGATGCCAACTGCTCCTTAAGGTCAGTATTTGCTGCAGACATTTTACTAGGGAAGATTTCAAATAGAGACCAATCACATCCTTCCCTCCTGAATTGCTTTTACTGTGATTTATAGATCAAGTGTACACAGGCAAGTATAAAAATGTACACAGAAAGCCAGCCTTTGCCTGAGGTTTGCTTTATGGCAAAGGTCAACTTATGAAGAATAGTCTATGACAGGTTTGACTGCATAAAATAATTCCAGACTTGTGTAGGTCAAAAAGATACCACCCCAAACTAAGAAGTTAAGCAATAGACTTAAAACTACATATCTGTAGCCAACATAATTTATATAATATGTATTTATAGCTTACATGTTTGCCAATACATTATAGCTAATATATCTTCTGTAATATGAAGAGTTCATCCAATGATGAAATTATTATTTAAAAAATCATCATGAAAATAAACTTTATAGACAAATATACAACCCATGACCAGATAATTCTTCAAAAAGTAAAAACCCCAAATGGCAGCAATGGAAAATATATAATCCTTCTAGCATTCAAAGGAAATGGCAAGTTGAAACAGAAAAGTATATTTTTATAACCTTGCCAACAAAGAATCGGTCATATGCCTCAGCTGTGGCAGACTGTCTCATCAGTTTGTGCCAGACTCATCTCTTATTTATTTTATTTTATTGATTTTTACCCCTGTGGTCACCTGTACCATGGGTATAACCTTCCCTCACCATGGACACTTACTCCAAGATGTGCCAATACATGTCCTTGGATAGGTATTTGTATTAGTTTCCTGTGGCTGCTGTAACAAAATCATCTCAAAAACTTGGGGTCTTAAACCAACAGAAACATATCTTCTCACAGCTCTGGAGGGCAGAAGTCCAAAATCAAGGTGTCGACAGGGTCACACTCCCTTCAGAGGCTCTAGGGAAGATTTCACTTCTTGAATCTTTCAGTTCCTTGTGGCTCCAGGTGTCCTTGGCTTGTGGCAGCATCCTTCCAATCCTACCTCCATCTTCACGTGGCCATCTTCTCTGCTGTGTCTCTACTGTGTGTCTGTTATATGGACCTTTGTTAGCGGATTTAAGGCTGATAATCCAGGCTAGTTAATCCAATATGATCTCATCTTGAAATGCTTAATTACATCTGCAAAAGCCCTTTTTTCCCCAAAAATCACATTCACAAATACTGGGACATAGACATATCTTTTAGGGGCTATGATTCAATCCACTACAGTATTTTTAAAAGCTAGATAGTGATTTTTGTGTATGTGTGTTGTTTTCCATAAATAATGTGCTAAAAACCGTATTTCACATCTTACTACAAATACTTCTTGACTTATGATGGGGTTATAACCTGATTAACCCATTGTAAGTTGAACATATTGAAAGTTGAAAATACTTTTAATGCACCTAACCTACCAAACAACATAGCTTAGCCTAGCCTACCTTAAATGTGCTTAGAACACTTACATTAGCCTACAGTTGGGCAGAATCATCTAACAAACAGCCTATGATATAATAAAGAGTTGGATGTCTATGTAATTGATTGGATACTGCACTGAAAGCATGGGAACTCAAAGCATGGTTTCTACTAAATGCTGTATCACTTTCAAACCATGACCAAGTTGAAACATTGTTAGTCAAATCATCATACATCAGGGACCATCTATATTTTCACTTAGCACCATGTTTTTGTCTATCTGTAATGTTCTCATGTACCTAGTTTATATCCCATAGTATATACCCGTCATATTTTGCTTATTCAACCCCCTAGTCATAGTCACACAAGTTCTTAGCCTCCACCTGTCTGCTACCACACAGAATTCAACAATGGACATCATTGTGCATGGCCCCATATTGCTGTGTTGCAAGTGTTTCTCTGATGTGCATTCCCAGGAGTGGGTGGCTGGATCATACAGGATATAAACACATCCTCAGTTTCTCTAAGTATTGCCAGACTGTGTCTGTCTGTACCAGTTACCTGTCACATTCATGAGGGTTTTTTCCCCCAAATTCTTGCCAATACTTGGAGTCATTCAATTTTATATTTGTTATTCTGATGTCTGTAAGGTGGTAGCTCACTGCTACTCTAGTTATATTTTCTCCAGTGACTAGTGAAATAGAACACTATCAATCTGTTACATTTTCCAGTATCTATGATTTTACCCAGAACTTCTCTGTCATATTGGTATTGTCAGTTTTTGTTCTAGATTATAACAGATGTGCCTTTCTTGTCTTCTCTCTGTTCTCCTTATTCAGACAGGAATTAATTTTTCTAGTTTGTTTACACACCCTTAGTTTTGAGGCCAGAGGTTTGTCTATTGCACCTTCCCTTATATGCACCTCTGTGTTCTCCCCTTTGGAACAAGGGTGAGCAGGAAGCCTGCAAACCACATTCCCCAGACTTCCTTGACAGCTAAATGCTAATTAGTTTCTGTCAATGGGAAGTGCCTGCACCTGAGTAGCAGGTGGAAAGAAGGTTGGGACCATTCTGTCTCTGATGGTGCCTTAGCTGCAACAGCAGTGGTGGCTTCTGCTCAGTGACACTGGTGACAATGGCTCCATGGTTCCAGCAGTGCCCCCAGTAAGGGTGGACTGACAGGCTCCCACTCAGATACAGTAGCAGCTCCCTGAGCTCTGGGTAGAACTCCCTTTCCCTTTTGCTTCTCCAAACATCTTTAGAATCAAGGCATGCATTAAATCCCTTTCATCTTGAATCATCAAAATGACTTCTGTCTTCCTGATGGGGCACTGACTGATACCCTTCTTTTATTCTTAACATCCTCCCAGAATGGTCTTATGTCCTCTAATAGCATTTCAAAACATGTCTTTGCAGGATAATCATTCTCAGACCTTGTATGCCTAAGAATAACTTTATTTCACCTCTTGCATTTAAAGGATAATTCATCTGGGTATAAAACCCCAAGAGCAATATTCTTGTGCTTTGAAAGTACAATTGCACTGTCTCTGGACATCCACAGTTGCTATTGAGAATTGTGGTGACAGCTTATTCTTGTCCCTTTCAAGGTCATTTGCTCTTCCTCTCAAGAGTTTTCATCTAAGTTCTTAAATTTCTTTATGATGTGTCTAGATGTTGACTTTTCTCTTATCTCTACAGTATGACACTGGAAAAGCCCTTTCAATCTAAAGCTATCTATATTTCTATAATCTATATTTCTACATAGATTGTCACTAATTCAACATAGTTCTCCACTACTGTTTGTTCTTTCTCTCTCATTCTGAGACTCCCATCAGATTGAAACTTCTGTTTCTATATTCCATATCACTTAACATTTTTTTAAATCCTGTCTTCCCTTTATTATCCCTTACTGATGCCTAACAGCTTGAGTCTTCCAGATCATTTATTAGGTCCTTTAAGGTTAACATTCTGCTATCCAAGCCCTCTATTGAGTTCTTCATTTCATCTACTGCCTTTTTATTACACAATATTTCTAGTTGGATTTTCTTTATGACTGCTCATTTCTTTTCACTACTTCTGATATTTTTCTCCCCTCACTTTGAGGATATTTATGTTTATTTTGTATTCTTGTGTCTCTGGTCCATTAATTCTGACTTCTTTTGCTATCACTATTCAGTTTGTTATCTTTCTTTGACACCAGGTAAACTCCCAATTTCTCCCTATTTTCCCCCAGTGAATTCAGCATACCAGCTGACTTGGCTAGCAACCTGACCCTGGATGGAGGGACAATCAAAATCACCTATGTCGTTTCT